CTGCCTTCCGCAGTTATCCTCACATTTCACTTCAGAGCTGATCTGACACTTGAATATGTTTCCTGTTTTATGTTGAATAAAGCATGCTCTAACTGTGAATCTCCAAATATTTCTGYGTGACACTGAAGATAGAGGCAGGWGACAGAAGTACAGAAAGCGTTTTCTCACAATTAAAAGGAGACACTTGGATGAGCTGCAGAACATAAGTAATTCAGGCAAAAAGAGCAGAGAACTKCATTCTTTTATGTTACTCTTTATAATTTGCCTGAAAAATGCAACAAAYCTTTTCCTACCCCTATATGGAAAAACTGTATAAACTATTTACAGATTTATCTGAGATACTTAATCTTGTTAAATTATACACACACATGCACACGCTCTCAAAACATGTTAAAATTGTTTATCAAAAATACAAGAAGTACCAAAAGGACATGTACAGTTAAATCAGCTTTGATATACTGAACAGGATAAGGCCACCTGCCTTTCTGAAGTTAGTGATAGAAGTACATGCTTTTCTAGAATACTGAATACTTGTTCAATTGCAACATTAAAATTAGTTTGCTGTTATTGGGGCTTTACTCCTCTAAATAGAGGATAGGCTGAAACAAGTTTCTTGCAGAATACATTAGAAATATTTATTGATAACAAATTCTACCAGTAGTTCTGTTGAAAATGATTCATAGATCCATTTTAATGCCAAAAGTGTTATCATTAGATWATCTTGCCTGACAAATTGTTTAACATGGATCACAGACTTTCATCTGCAAGCTAGTGTCACTGTCCCATTAGCATCAGTCTGGATAAACTTGAGGTAAAAAAAAAAAAAAGTGATTTAAACACTATCAATTTCTCTTAATGGTATTTTTCACTGACTAATCATCACAACTTTTACAGTCTGTTTTTCCCATTTAAATTTACCTACTTCTACTCAGTTACTTTTTACCTGTTTATTTTCAGGTTAAAGAGTACTTCAGCACCTTGTTGTCTCTCTGCTAAGGCACTTCCACCCCTTAATCAACAGACCTATTGAATTTTTAATAAACTATTTCATATGCTTATCAATTTACGCATTTACCCCCCCAGGTCTTAAGTTATTTGCATCTCCATAAACATTCCTTTTACATCAAATACAGCCCACTGCTGTTTGCCATTATTTCATGATGAATAATTTAAACCAATTTAATTAAAATGTGGTTTTTATACTCAGACTGCTTTACCTAGGTTGCATGTAAAAAAATTATTTTTTCATCTACAAAATCTTGACAATGAAGAGCTTCATATTTATAAGATATGTATTTTTATCTGCTATTTTGTTATCTTTATATAGACTTTTTTTATAATACACTATTGTTGTGGCAGTGTATAAAAGCAATTAAGAGAGTTGTTTTTTTTTTCCTTTTATGCTTTTTTACTCTATGAAATTGTAAATACTGATTTAGCCCTTTTGATGAATTTCTGTCAATAAAACTGTTTTTCACACAGTCAAAAGACAGCTTTGTAAAATGCAATTTTATGCTTCCAATTTTYAGGGTCTTTCTGGTTATTTAGAAAGTTCTTATCAAATAAAGCATAGTGACTTATTGCCTTCCTTCCTCTTTCTTTTCCTTGTAATCTGATGGGGAAAATAAAAAAGTATGCAGCTACAACAAAATAGTGATTTATTTGATGACTATTATAAATATGAATCCACTGGCTATAAATCACATAATAAATGACAYCTCTGATTAAGGTGCAGAACATCCTGCCCTTTAGCTGCTGGAGGCTGAGGGAACTCTAAAAATTGAAAATGGCATCACAGTTTTCTATATTGTCTGTGAGAGAAGCCAGAATCTTTGGAATCCTACTAGAGGAAAAAAAAACAATAAACACATGCAGGCAACTATGAAGAAAACATTGGTCATGATGGCAGCCAAGTTCTGGGTTTTATTTAACATATTTGTATACTCTTCCTGAAGATTAAATCAGTGAAGTCCTTTGCTGTATGTAGATGTTAATATTTATTTAGTGTTTTAATAATGKTACTGTTACCAGAAGAGGAATTATTCTCTCATACTGAAATACTGAAATATTAATGTGTATTCAGTAGGATGTAGCTGTTCATATTCTCCACTGTAGTGCCTCTGTCATGAAGAGAAACTTAAGAGAAATTTCTCAAACTGAGGAAAATTACAATTCTGTTTAAGAAGACAAACTTATGGTACTAAGTCTCTCTAATCAAGACTGTTGTGAAGCTCATCAGAATTTAAGCCTCAATTAAGGARTGGAAAATGGAGAAATAAAATACTTACAGTAAGTAAAGTCCTGTCCTTGTGGTACAGGGGACAGTTATAGAAATTGTCAGTATACATGAGGAGAAAATACCAGCTACCTTGGCTGACAGTAGCTTCCTAATGAATGTAAGTCTAAATATGAACAATTTTTTTGAAATATTCAATTGTWAGCAAGCCATGTAATGCAGCTACACATTGCTTAGTATATGATAACATTTAATTCTAAAGCATTGCTTCTCACTCCTGAGCTGACTCATACACAGCCCACTTGCAAGTTCTTCTACTTAAAGTGAATACTAGCCAGAAAAGCTGTGTCATTCTCCAAGACAAAGAGATTTATGACAAAAGTAGCATGTGATGTACTATGGAAGGGAAGAACTTTGAAGGTGATCACAAAAGGCCAGAGTAACTTTTTTTATGTGGCCCCTGGTTCAGTAATATCCACGGGGCCTGTTCAAATGTGTCTAAAAACTAYGCATTGCTTAAACGGAGACTTTTATGATGCCGGCATAAAAGCTGAACAAAACCTTGAGTTTCTACAGATGTTCAATGTAGTGGTGTAATGGGAAGCTGTTTCTCTTGATTTTATTTGCTTTTATGTTTAGTGAAACCATAGTTAAGTCCTRTAGCACCTGCTGTAGAAAACTAGAATATGGTGAAGATTAATGCTCCAATGTCAGAAGCTGCAATTTCATTGCAATGATTTTTCCACTTCCAGTTTTTATTATTCACAGGTTTTTGTCMGCTAAAGAACCTGTTGGAAACATTTTAGCATTTTATAAGCTCGACCATATTTACAGACAATAAAAGAATAACTGAATATTAATAAAGAGATGAAGAAACACATAAATTATATTCTTGTATTACTTATACTGGAATTTCCTCTCCGTTAATACAGACTGAGTCTGGAAGATCTACACCTTTTCCCAGACCTTTTGGAGGGCTGGATGATAAGAAAAAACCCAGCATATTTGTACTCTTTTCTGTTTCCAGACTACACTGCCAGGAAGGCACTAGTTTAGATTTTACAGTTTTGGGGACTGTCTCCTTGGCTGTAATAACTCCTGCTACAAGAGAGATGAAAAAAAAAAAAAAAAAATCAATGTATTGGTATACAAGAATAGGAGACACAGAACAATAGAGGGAAAAGAAAAATGGCTAAAATTGCAAGTGAATTAAAAAGAGCATCAACAAAGGCAAGCAGATAGAAGAAATAAAAAGAAGGACCTTTAAATTATAGAAAACTATATGGCACATACTCTGTAAATTTCTCTTCAAAGAGTATAATAAAATCTTTGGATAAGTCATAAGAAGGAGTCATCCTGGCCCAAACACMCTCAGTTCTCTGACAAAGAAGAGCTGTCTTGATGCTCACTGCATTGAGCCCAAGGCCTGAGGCAATCAGGAAAGGGGTGGGAAAAAAGTGCATGTAAGAAGTGGGATTTTCCAACTCTCTCAAAGCCTGWCTGAGCCCTAAGAGCACTGTTCATATAGAAATATTCATATACATTACTMTGTGCAATGTCTTTTCAGAGTGAACAACTTGTCCTGTCACTTCTCTCCCTACATGGTCCCTTCTAAGGAGCCAATTTTTGYACACAMTTGGYAATTGAAGACCATACAAYAGTGRTGGAATGTTTTGCATCTGGGATGYTCTACCCCTTGATGAAGACTCCAGWTCTCACAGCCAACACAGCAGTAAAAGAAAACTTTTCACTTTTCAGATTGCTAGCAAAAAGAATTTTTTCAGACTATAAACTTGGTTTCTTTTGTTTTTTAAAGTCTCAGATGTAAAAAAGTTCTGAATTTTATTGAGCCATTCCATCTGCAATCTGATTCCCTAAGGAAAATAYAGTGCATCTATGTGACCTACAAAACCTAGGAAATGTACCATTTATGTCATCATTTCCTAATAGGAAATGCCTTTAAAAAATATGGTATTTTCATACTTCTTGTTGATACTAGTCTGCCTCTGCCTAGATAAACCTTCAGRAATGTCCACATTACCTTTTAWGTCATTTTGAMCCAAAAAAACCCAGAACCCARAACCAACATAAACTAGAARGCATTTCATATGAATAGAAAGACTCAATCTTATTTAATCTCTTTTCTGTCTCATTTGAGAAATGTTGAGCATCAGTTTTTCACTGCTTTTAAAACAGAGAGAAGTCCAGCTAAAATAATTCTGATTGAATTCAAAATTAAAAATTAAAATAAACCATTATTTATGCAATAATGGTCTGATTCAATTTTCTACTMATAATTGTAACTTTCTAAACATATTTCCTTACTTCTTTCCATTTATTACACATCAGCAAACTGAAGAAACTGGAAAAAACAAGACAGAAGTTTTTGGAATGGTATTACATATTTTAAAGACTCTGATATCAGTCCTAAGGAAATCTTGCATTGCAGCTGCTATTAGTTGCATCACCATATTTGAAAACAATCAATTTGATCACTGTTTCATTAGGTCCTCAGTTAGAAAAAGAAACATTATACTGGTTAAATGTGACATTAAAGTGAAGCTGTAAACCCCATACAGCATTATGGAGAAATAAGSTAGTTTCCTAGTCAAAATCAGTTTATTTCCAATTTTGCCATGCCTTCTAGTTTGATTTTGTATCTACTGACACCAGGACTTCTGATATTTGACTTTAAAGGGGAAAAAAGAAGTGTTACACTCTTGTCTGTCAAAGTGGCAATTTATTTTATGCTTTCTCATCATACCTTGAGAATTTTGCACATTATCTCATAAACTGAAAATGTTTTCTCAGCTCGTGTCCAATCCCAGGTTGTGACCTTTAAAAAACAAACAAAACACAAAATAAACAGAAGAAGAAATTAATTTTTATTTATTTCAAGAATTAAGTTCCTCAACAAAAAAAAAATATCCCTTAACTATTTACACTGAGTAAAATGTATTCAGAAAGACCAATGGACCAGACTGCTACATCCAGATAATGCTTAGGAGACATCGTCCCTGTCCTTACAATGCAGTTCCTTTGCATGAAGCCTGCTGTGTGCAAAATTATGATGTTTCCCCTGGGAACTGRCAGGGATTGCAGTGAGATCTGAGAGGATCCAGCCCTTGAATTAATCTCACAGAGCCAGAGCCCTGACTATTGGAAAGCAYGTTTTTCACCACACCCCTCCTTGTAACTTCATGCCAATATTTGCTCCCAATGACCTACAGTGTTTGCAAATCCRTAAAACCAATCTTCAACCTTGCAATGTCCCAGGCACTTACCCCACATACCTCGAAACCCAGGGGAAAGAAAACAAACCATGAAACAACAGAGGCAGGTATCCATTTTCTTTTTTTTCTTACCAAGATTAAATTACTGCTAAATTCTAACAAACTAAGATTTGAAGAATAGTCTTTTTTTTCCCTCTTTGTTTTGTTATTTCACAACTGCTTTTAACACTATTCATTTTACACACAAAAAAAATGCATCGATAAAAAAATTAAATCATGAAAGGATAAGTGTTAAGTCTTAAATAAGACAGAAAGAGATAGAAGTATGTATTCAGTAACGGAAGAGTTAAGGCAATATCCCAACAGYGTATAAAATTTCCAAGGAAACTGCAAGAAGAAAACAGGAGAATATTCACAGTCTCAAGCACAATAAAATGGTTGATGAAAAAATAAGTTAGTATTTCTACAAGAYTCAAAATRAACTTTGMAAAATGTATAATAAAATAATGTACMCAGACCAGGAASAAAATATTATWTGACACCAATTTATCTCTTATCTAAAGAGAAAATAATCATTAATAGAAAAAGATTATTTCGCTGTTGCATGAGAAAATTCTATCCCGAACTAATTTTTAGTTATAAACATTACTGTAAGGAAGAGTCCTTTAAGGAAATCACAAGGAATGAAAAGTTCAARAATACAGTGTTATAGTTCCTCTTCTAATAGAATTTCCTTTATTTGTAGTCATCCTCAAATGCAGCCTTCACTAACTTATTGAACTGTGGGTACTAAACCACAAAGTTACTCTTTCTCCTATGGACAAAAAAAATGAAATTTTCACCATGAACAGAAAAATGCAGAAAGTAGTCTTGCTACAGCCCCACTGAGCCCAAAACACCAGTCACTCCAACTGAACCCATATTGCTCCACGGCAAAAGTAGTTACTATGGCTGCTGAAGCACAAAGTCATTTGGAGCTGTGTTTAAAAACTTACTGTAGGCTCCGTACTTYGGGGGAAAGTATAAGAGCTCTCTCTTCTCCCCTAGTCTCCTGCTTTTTTTGTACCTATAAAGGGACTTCCTTTCAGGTCAAACCAGAATTCTTTCTGTGTAAAGACACGTGCAAAGCAAAAGCAATTGTATAATTAAGACACCCACAGAAATTGCTGCACCTGCTCACTTTTCATATTTTAATTACAAAAAAGAAAGGGTGTTAATGGCTCTTTCTCAGTAAATTTTCAGTTATAAACTGGAAGAAATTGAAACTCACCAGACTTGACACAAATCATAATTCTAAAGGAGGAAATATACCAGGAAATAACAGAAAAAATARTAAAGAAGAAATTTTGTTCAAAGCTTTCAAATTGCAAGTAAGAAACACTAGGATTGCTCTGTTATGTGAGCACGGGAAGTAGAAGTACTATTGATCAAACAGATAAAAAAAGAGACATGGGGAGGATGTTGTTGCTGTTTAAACACATGCTTCCCCAATGTGCTAGACTTCAGCAGAGAGTGGGGAAATACTTTCACTTGATTTTTTGGTTAAAAAAAGTTTGCAGGACATCTCTTTTCAGAAAACCTCTTTTCAAGAAAACAACTTAGTCCAAGTAGCTTACACTGCAAATGTAATTAAAACAGTTTTTATTTTAACTACACTTTAWGCATCTCCTAAAAAAAAAAGCTTTGAAACTGTGTCACTGAAATTTTGTTCATAATATTCTGTAATACCCTGGAAGAGACAAACCTGCAGAATAACAAATATTACTGTATGTGTAAAAGTTTGCATATAGAGATAGGATTTTAGAAGTATGCAATTACTATATAAATTACATGTTGGAGTTGGAGCTGGATGATCTTTAAGGTCTCTTTTAACCCAAATATTCTATGATTCTATGTCTTTAAGGCARCTCTTTAGGAATTCTTCCTCTGTCCTAAAAAAAAGGCTTGCTTATCATTCTGCTTTCCTCCTACTCCATGGAGAGAAAAAAATTTTCTCTGCATTTGAACAGTTTTTCTATTTTAGACTAGGAACCAGAATCTGGCAGTACAAAACCATGTTGTGCTTGCAGCTGAGCTGAAACAAGACCTATAAAAACTCAAGGATAGATTTCTTATCTTATACAATAGCAGTTTGCCAAAACTTTCCTTACTCACATCACCATGGCTCAAATCCTTCATATGAACATGTTCCTTCCACGTCCATTAATCACATTTCATCAGATACCCTCTACAAGTATATTACTCCTAGAAATTCATGATTCTTCAGTAAAGAGGGTTTTGACCTTGTCCATAGTTCTTACCAAAGAATAATCTTCCTTTTTTGTATTGAACAGGATCTCTYATCATGATTTTGCTTCTGTCTAGTACCTAGAATTGAGTTGGTTTTACTTGACAGACAGCAAGTACTACAGTAGGTCTGGCAAAGGCAGGAGACTGAGTTTTGAATTAACGTGCCCATTAGCATAATCTGACATTTTAATCTGATCTTGAAAAACATCCACTAAAAAAAGCCCAACTCCCATTAATAGACATGAGAGAGCCAAACTCCCACACCAGTGAACTAGAGTACAAACATTGAACTCATTAATTTTTCAGTTYGTACTTATATTCCTCATGGCTTTCACATGTTTTCAAACCTTTTGCTAAACAAACACCCATATTTACTGACAAACAAAGCAAAGATCTGCAAGATGGCTTTAAAGTACCTGAGAAAGAGGTAGCCCCACAAGGAGTAGAAGTCCAATCTCTGAAAATATCCAAGAGTGACTCTGAGCARCCTGTGCCAGCTGAAGGTGTCCCTGCTTACCGTAGCAGGACTGGACAAGAYGACCTTTAAAGCTCCCTTTCAACCCAAACTATTCTATGATTCTGATTCAGGCAGGAAAGAGCTATACCCTGGATCTGACAAACACAATGTTTAGCAGCAATCAGAAAGGTCATCCAACAAACAGGAAAAATTAATCCACATGACTCTTCCTGCTGCAGGCATGGGACTGCTACTGTCTCCTTAGCAACTGGCTTAAAAGTTAGCTAGAGGATCTTTACTGCAGCCTAGATGTACTGCAAGACTGTGAAAGTAGATTGCTGAGTATAAGATGACAGCTAGAATTTTGCCAAGTGTTCCCAGTGAGATTCCAATAAATATATTTAACTTAATTTCATTTGATTCCCTACCTGCCTTTTGGTGCTGTCAAGCAGCAAAGACTTACATTCGGGATGAAATCTAAATACAGACATATTGCCATCTCCACAGCATCTAATGAGCTTTGATATTTCCCCAAATCTCAGCAGTTTCACTAGAATGATTGTTCAGTTTAGATCTAAGCATCTTGCTTCAGGCCTGTTCTGTCTGCCAAAGGGAAATTAAAAGCTCCCTTTTAACATGAGCAGATTTCTCCATTATTTTTTTAAGTGTTCAGTSAAGTGGGAGAAAAGAAATTCTTATTAGATACCCAATCATCTGATGAATTACTGTTTTCTATCACTTCTACACCATATATCCCAGAACTTTTCAATGGCGTTAGTTGAGCTCCTGTTAGCCCGACGAGTGATATCTCATTTTTAAAGCCTTCTACTCATTACATGAYAATATATTATCTAATAACATTTATTCCCACTAAGCATGAGAAATGTACTTACTGGAGGTGCTATGAATTTATACAGGGAAGATCCCCTCAGTGCTAGAAACTTTGGTGTGTACATTCGATCCTGAAGGGAGTCTTGTTCCCGTTCTTCCGTCCAGCCCATGTAGACTATCTGACAAAAAAATCAATAGTGTTGACAATTTCTCAGACATTTTCTTGTGTTACAAATATTTCATGTGCATAATATCACCTCTGTCAAATTTAACATAGCTGCAAACCTGGAACCCCTGACACAGTATGGAACATTGGAAGCTTTTATAAAGGATGCCTGTTAAGAACAAATCCTTATTGTACTAGTAACAAGAACCCTTAACCACGAATTCCAGGGATGTTAAAGGTGTATTCCACATATTTGCTGGCAGATCACATCAGTGAAATTTAATGCAAGTGAAGTGTAAGGATCTAGTCAGGAATACAAAGTCAAGCCAGTGCTACTACACAGCAATATAGATACAGCCTCCATATGCAAACACACAGTTATGCATTCAACAATATGATCTKACAAAATTTAATTCCCAATTAATTTCAATATTTTGGGGGTTTTTTAACCCTCTGAAAATCTCTGTAGGAGTTTTGGACATTTTTGCTTAGAAAGAGCAGATTAGTAGAGTGTTTCCAATCACTATTTTGAACAGACTTCATCTATAGCTAAGAAGTAACCAGAATGCTGTAGACCCTTACCACTACCTGTAGATCTTCTGACGCAGATGTTTGAATTAGAAGTTATTCCACCTCACTTTAGGATACAAATATCTTCTAAAGTTTGAGTTCTTTAATATCAAATCCTTAAAGAGTAGAAAAGCAGGARTGTCCACTATGCCAGCTTCTGAAGAGCCACTGAGCAGGGAGTAGACCCATCATGGAACATTTGATTTATAACTATGCCATTAGTAATAAAATACAATTTCCAGTGTGCACTGGTACAYTACTGCTATGGAAAAGAAGCTCAACCCATATTTCATACAATGCTGCTAATGGGATAGATCTATTTTTAAATATCTCTGTGAAACTGWTTTCTACGCCAACAAAGAATATAGGGGACATTGTCTTGTATGTCAGTAATAATCATGTAAGGAAAACAGTTTAGGTAAAAGAAGAATAATCATATAGTCAACTAAGTGCACCAATGGTAAAGTCTCAAAGGAAAGTCCCTAAAATGAATGTTTTTAGTGCATGTTTTATCCTTTTAGATTTTGTATGTTGTGGACTTTTTAAAAAGAAATTTACACTATTTTATTTTTTTTTTACTTTTAAGAAGAGCATTTTCACCAACATTTCTTCATGGAATATGCATTAAAAGAAATTGTGGGTCTATTGTTATTCTTTTTTTCTGTTCTGTGTTGGATTTTTTTATTGCAGCACACTGGAAATGAATGGCTTTTTCAGAATCCYCTTGTATGAAATCAACACTACTACTCTCTGTCACAGTTTATTGGATATTTTATGGCCTATAACCAGACACAGGGAGTAGGTCCATTTTTCTTATACTACACTGACACCTCMATACTTAATTATTTTGTCAATAGCAAACACTAAAACTGTCATATAGTCTCAGGTTCAATGAAGAACATGCGTTGAACTATCTGCTCGTTTGGTGACTAAATAAGTTTATAAAAGTCAAAAACAAGACAGGTCTGTACCACAACATTCAAGCGAAGAGTGCTACACACTGTATTGTTATGCAATAACTAAAAAGCCATGTTCTCTGAAATCTCATTCATTCCTGAATGAAGAACAATTCAGAAGGGAAAAACAAACCAATCAAACAACCAATCAATACAGTAAGAGAAATTTTTAATTTGTATTCAAATGTATTAACATGGATTCAAATTTCTCTAATTTCTGCTGTTTGGTATGTTATCCATAAATAAGATCCCCATCATTCTGACTTGGTCGGAATCTCTAGGCCTTGGTGACTGAAGCAGGTTACACAGAAAAGTTCAATTAGCACAAAAAATTGTACTACTATGTGCAGAATTTTGGTACATTTTTCKGTCTGTTACTGAAAGAGAATGCATGATCTCTAATTTCCAGGAATTGAGACATCTATGCTTCAAAATTAATTTAATTGAATTCACTTATTTTTATCTTGATTTCTTTCATTAAAATTGGGCACACAGTAAGACATCATCTTGCCTGATGATATTTAATATGACTGTAGCACTGTATGTAATCCCTTCCTAGTGTTTTGCTCTTTCATATTTCTACACCTACTATTCATCACAATAAAAGGATACAGYCACTCATGCTGTGCAGATGTATTGATATTTCACATTTGATTGACTCAATACTTAAGCAGCCATGAAATTTAAGGCAATTGCTCCTTTGGATATTTCTCCCTTGCCTCTGTAGATCATGAGGAAAAATTAGATTGATTTTCCAGACAACCTGCTCTTCCAAAAGTTTTATTAACAAAAAAGCATTTCTCCTTCAGACTCAATACTACTATTCTACATAGGCAAGCAACGGCTATATGATTATAATTAGGAAGAATTACAAAGTTTTTTGAGTGCATGTGCATATCCACATGTGTGGGTTAAAATAGCACAGGATAGATTCTGGAAAACAAGGCAAAACTGAACAAATATTTGCTAATTATTTTAGTAGATAACTCAGAGAACTATGGGAACTTTATGTTCCTAAAGTGGTCTCAGTYTATCCAAACATACCAAATGTGAAATTAAATAAAATATTGTAATTTTTTATACAATGAGGTGAGAAACTCTTGAAAATATTCACTTCAGAGGTAAAATAGATGACATTTTTWAAAAATGTATGTTACTGGGAAATGTTCTGAAAGCTTCTAAAAAAGCTTTGACTTTCAAAAACTAAAAGAAAATTATTTACTGGAAAGGGATTATAATTCTCAAAATTAATAGTTCATGTGTGTAAATAYTGGATGAATATGGTATATTACTTGAGAGTTTTGGACCAGTTTAGCGGCACATGTGGACTTGGAACATATGGCGTTTAATGAGATTATGAAATTCCAGAAATTTCATTTCTGAAAATAAATGCTTAGAAGCACAGCCACATGATGGATGGAAATAAATGTTAATTACAAGTAGACGGTGCATAGCATGCTTCTTTATAAATTCAGAAATCTGACTGTTTTTTTAATCTTATCAATTTTTTTTGAATGCCTATAAAACTGTTGATCATTACCAACACAAGTGGCAGGGGTGCTGAAAACACATTTTATTTATGATTTGCATTACACCTGAAAAATAATTTTTGCAACCCTGGTTTCTAACTTACCTCAAGCAGCTCATTCTTTAAAATCAGATGGTGACACAAATTAGTTAACTTAGAGGCTGCTAGTTCAGTAATAAAAATTCAATAAGTCATTATGGTTTATGAGTTAAATCATGGACAGTTTAAAAAAATCTATATTGAAATGATAAATGAAATGGGACAATTTCTTCAGTCAAAAATCTATAATTTTGCAAATTAATTTGTTTTTAAATCACRCAGACATCCTAATCAAGTATTATAAATTGCCATCTTTTAATATCAGTCCCATATATTGCTAAAAATTATATACTTAAATAGCTTTGACTGTCAGAGATCCTTTTCTGAGTTTTTACACAGATTTTATTATATTTTAGGAAGAACAGTAAAAATACAAGAAAATTTTCCCAAAATGAAATGTAAGATGTATGTGACATTATAAAAGTGAGAGGATTCAAAGATCAGAAGAGATAGAGTGACAGCTTTTTATCTCACATGCCTGATACTCATACTCACATTATGTGAAACTGTCCTGTAGGGCAACAGGATGAACATGGAGTCAGAAGACAAATAAATATGTCAGACAACACAGAGGGAAAGTAATGAGGGATGAGMAACTCAGATAATGCTCTCCACCCTGGTTTTAATATAATTTTCTCTGTACTTTTACAAATAATTTTCTGTATCATCTAAAAAATCTTTTACTAAACTGTTAGCAGAAAAACAATAAAAGACACATGGGAAATGTGTGAAAAATGGAAGAAAAGGGGTGATCATAATGCMATCATTGACAAAATCAGTTCTGCTTATAAAAAGTTTAGGATTTTTATGAAAAGACATTTTTTCAAAGGCAACAGAAGAACTAATCACTTAAAATTTTGAATGAATGCTAGGAAACATTTTTCCTATAGTAAATGCAGTAACAATGTCTCCTAGCCTATTTTTCAGGTTTGTGAAAAGCCTGGTAATCTTTCCATAACTTTAAAAAAATAATTTTGTGGATTACTTCCCATCTTCTTCACAAAAAAAAAAAAAAAAAAAAAAAAAAAAAAAAAAAGTTTCACTAAAACCTTAGAGCTATAACCAACAAAGATCATCTCCATGTTTAACAACCTAACTACTAATAGATTATTCAATATTGTACATTCATTGTATCTCACAGCTTAATTTCCTTCTGGGTAAGAACCCACATTGTCATCTTGCACCAGACCAAGGCTGAGTAGAGGTTWTCAATTTGGCTTTGTCTTGTTCTCTTTTTGAAATGACCACACAAAAACCGAGGAAATATGAGGCCTTAAAGTAAATAGCATCAGAGAAAGCAGAAAATACTTAACTATGGAAGATGTTTTTTTGCTTACAATCCAGATAACTGAAAACTGGCATCAAAGACTGAAAACAGGATATTTGCTTTCTTAGCAAACAACAWCATAATCAGAGCAGAGAAGAAGTTTATGGTAACAAAACTTGCCTGGACCTCTGTAGAGATCATTAACAACATTAACAGTGCTGTTTGGAAAACCTACATGACAGTTTATGTTATATCCAACAGCATCCCATAAGAAAACTTAGCACATTCCCAATGAGATCTACCGGATCTTGCTGGAAATCAGGACTTCACTGACTCCTTCAGGCCTTCACTCCCTCCACAGATTTGAAAAATGATGGCCACATGTGGATACAGGACAGCTTTCCAAACAGCTAAAAAACTATGTGTTGCTTTTCCAAGTTCCTTCTTTTTGTAATTTACTAATCCAGAGAAACATTTTAACTCACCCATTCAGTTTTTCATCCAGTGCTACATGCTAAYAGACACAGCTTATTTCAAAGCACTCATTTTACTTATTTAAGGCTTCTAAGTAGCTGTTTATTGAAATAAATTCT